CCGAAAAGCATATTGTCACAGTCTGTAAGAGGAAAACCCCCAAAAATCCTTCCTATATGTAGGCCCATGTAGACCCAATAAAAGATGAGAAGAGGAGTTTAAATCACAAACGACCGGGAGAAAGCTGATGTATTAAATTAATTTTTCTCTTCAGTATACACTCTAGAAAAAGACGGGTTTAATGGAGGTAAGAATGTGAGTAGCTCAGTGCGTCAAATACTGCAGTGGTTGACGGTAGCCGGGGTTCAACAAAGACTTGAAAAATGTAATGCAAATAAATCGTTAGGGACAGATAACCTGCACCCCAGAGCACTTAAAGAGCTTGGTAAATCTATAGCAACACCACTATTCCTCATCTTCATGGACTCGTTAGTGACTGGAAGGGTACCAAGTGATTGGCGTAAAGCTAAAGTAGTACCAATATAAAAAAAAAGGTTAAAGATTCCAACCTGGGAACTGCAGACCAGTCAGTCTAACATCAATAGTATGCAAACTGTTTGAGGGAATGTTAAAGGACTATTTAGTGGATTGTGTTCGTGACAATGGTATAATAAGTGATAATCAGCATGGATTTAAAAAGGATCGTTCTTGTCAGACCAATCTACCAACATTCTACGAATAGGTGATTAGAGATCTGGATAAAGGAAAGCCAGTGGATGTTGTTTACCTGGATTTTGCAAAACACAGTGCCACATAAGCACCTAATACTTAAACCTAAGCTTAAATTTATGGGCATAGATGAAATGGTGTGCACATGGATAGAGAACTGGCTACAGGAACAGGTCCCAATAGTATTGATAAATTACTCTTTCTCACATTGGTATCTCCGTCAGGGGGATCTGCTGGCCTCCATCGACATCAAGGATGCCTACCTTCACATGCCCGTTTGTGTCATCAGTGATATCTTTGATTCGCGGTGGGGGAAGTGCACTTCCAGTTTGTGGCCCTGCCTTTCGGCCTAACATCGGCCCCACGGGTGTTCACAAGGGTGTTAGCCCCACTTCTGGCGCTGTTGCGTTGCCGGGGGATCTCGATCGTGGGGTATCTGGACGATCTTCTTCCGCGGAAGGAGTCGCAATCTTCTCTGGTGACAGCTCTGGTGGTCACTGTGCAGTCCTTGGAGGAGTTCAGATGGATCCTGAACTTCCAGAAGTCTTGTCTGGTGCCTTCTCCACGACTGGGGTATCTGGGCCTGGTTCTGGACACTGTGGCAGCCCAAGTTTTTCTTCCTCAGGACAATCTTCTGAAACTCTGTTCCAGCGTGCGTCTGTTGTGGACTCACCGGATTCAGTTTTTGCATGCGGGTCCTGGGCCTCATGGTGGCCTCCTTCGAGGCGGTGCCCTTTGCACAGCACCACATCAGGACTCTTCAGAGGGACATCCTGTTACAGTGGGACAAGTCCCCCCTATCCCTCAGTCGGTGAAACCAGGAGTATGGTCCCTACACCCAGACATTTTTCATCGGCTTTGTCTTCGCTGGGGGACACCGGATGTGGACCTTCTGGCGTCTCGACTCAACCTGAAGGTGTAGAGGTTCTTAGCCCGGACTCTGGATCCCTGGGCGGAGGCGGTGAATGCCATAGTTGCTCCCTGGGAACCTTATGGTCTGGTTTATGCCTTTCCTCCACTCTACCTGTTGCCTCGGCTCCTGCGACGAATCGCGGCCGAAGATGTCACAGTCATCCCCGTGGCCCTAGACTGGCCTCAGTGAGCGTGGTACGTGGACGTGGTGCCTCTGACTCTGGGTCTTCTGTCCCAGGGGCCTGTGTTTCTTCCTTCTTTACCGTCGCTGGCTTGACGGTGTGGCTGTTGAGAGCCGGGTCCTGAAGGATCGGGGGTTGTCCGATGCGGTCATTTCCACAATGCTCAGGGCGCGCAAAGCGGTTTCTAGAAAAATATACCATTGCACGTGGAGGGCCTATGCTGCCTGGTGTGAGGCTGGGACTCTGTCTCCGCGTTTGTTCTCAATCGGCAGAATTCTTGCCTTTTTGCAGCGCGGGGTGGCTCAAGGGTTGACATGAAGCGTGGTGAAGGGCCAAATTTCTGCATTGCTATGCTTTTCCAACGCACTTGGCGTCTAACGCCTTAGTTTGCACTTTTGTTCAGGGGGTTATGCGTATTGTTCCCCCTGTCCGCTCGCCTTTGGCGCTGCGGGATCTGAATTTGGGGCTTTCAGTGTTGCAGGAATCTTCCTTTGAGCATCTACGGAAGATCCCGCTTCTGTCTTTGTCCCAAAAATTGCATTTTTGGTTGCTATCACTTCCGTTTGACGGGTGTCTGAGTTGGCTGCCTTGTCCTGCAAATCACCGCTGCTTGTTCTACACAGGTACAAGGCTGTTCTATGGCCTAGACCGGCCTTCCGGCCTAAGGTTGTGTCGGCTTTCCTTCTGAATGAGGACATTGATTTGCCTTCCCTGTGCCCGAAACCGGTTCATAGGAAGGGAGGAGCGCTCCAATGTTTGGATGTGGTTAGCGCTCTCCGTGTTTGTTTTGAAGCTACGGCTTCTTTCCGTGAGTCTGATTCCTTGTTCGTGTTCACGCCGTGCAGGCGGCTACCATTTTTCGGTGGATTCGCAATGATGTTGTTCAGGCGTGCACCGTTAAGGGGCGCAAGCCTCCATTTCCTGTCACTGCCCTTTCTACTAGGGCTGTTGGGGCATCTTGAGATTTCCGTCATGGTGCCTCTGTTTCTCAGGTTTGTAAGGCCGCTATGTGGTCTTCCATTCACACCTTTGTCAAGTTTTGTAAGGTGGATGTTTCGGCATCGGCGGATGCTGGTTTGGGGTGCAAAGTGTTGTAGACGGCTCTTTAAGGGTTTTTTGGGGAATTTTAGTTGTTTTGCCCATCCCTCAGTGTGTTACTGCTTGGTGACGTCCCTACTGTGCAAGATCTACGATCTGTTGCCCGGTGTCCTTCAATGAACAGTAGAGAAAGTAGGAGTTTTGTATTCACCGTAAAATCCTTTTCTCTCTGTTCGTTGAAGGACTATCTCTATAGGTTGGACTCGATGGACTTTTTTCAACCTGACTAACTATGTAACTATGACACAGGCCCCGCCCTCTCTTATTGGGTGTACACTCCTAACTGCTTCTTAGTAACTGGAGACTTGTAAGCAGGTGAGGGGTTGGGCCACTGGCAGGGGCCGCCCCTAGGCTGTCTTTCTCTTTTGTAATGTGCCTAGCGTCCTTCTCCTGCAGGTGGTGATATACCCTACAGTACAGGATCTACGATCTGTTGCTCTGTGTCCTTCAATGAACGGGAGAGAAATTTCCTTTTGTGGGTTATACAAAGAACACGGATGTTACTATCGCCTTGTTCTTGGTATCATTTTAAACAGCAGGCAATTGCTGTTTAACTACAAGCAATCCCGTTGGATCGCTTGTACAGTGCGGCGCTGTGTGCACCCCCCAGGCTTCGCTGTCCCCCGTGTGGTCCCGGGACCGGCATGGCGGGTCTCCGCTGACCAATGGGAGGGAGATCAGCAGGCTTCCAGCCACTGATCTCTCCTCTGATCACTAGACACGGGAGCGATGTGTATTACATCACTTCTGGTGTCACTGTGTACATTCTCCGGCTCTTAAGAGCCAGGAGATAAAGCTGGGGAAGCAGATGTATGCTTCCTCAGCTTCTTTGGGGTCCCTAGGTGACCCCGATGTCTCCATAAAGAGGACCCGTTACATTACATAGGGGGCTTCTTAGCCCCCCCATGTGATAGCAATACAGTATTAAAAAAAATTACAAAATGAAAGTAAAAAAGCAACAATTTCTTTTTCAAGTTCCCCCACACGCACGCACATACTACGCAAAAATGTGTCGGGTGCGTCTACGAAAATTGTGCCACACATGTTTGTACACGTCGTGAACGTTGGAGTAAGAGCAATAATTCTAGGCCCATTAATCACTAGTAACACTAAACTGATGAGCAGTAAATGCTTTTAAAGCAGGGGTCTCAAACTCAATTTACTCGGAGGCCACTAGACAATTTTTTTAGTCCTGTGGGGGCCGCGACTATATATGGTACCAGTGTTAATGTCTGCACATGTTACAAGCGGCAACTGTCACCCATTCAAGTTAATGATCAGGTGACAGCTGCTGCATGTAAACGCCTGCGTACCGCATGTACTCATATGTGAAAGGATTACATGCAGTTAGGAATCAATGACTCTCCCTGGATACACAATCGTGTATCGCTGCATGTAAACGCCAGATGAACACATAAAATACACCCCCCTTCCAAGCTCCCCACATAATAATAAACCCCCCCAAGCTTTGGCCGGAGCAGCTCTGCAGTCTGCATCCGACAGAGATGCAGACTGTGTGGCTGCTGCCGCAAGTCAGGTACGCAGTCCATGACTGCGTACCAGACTTGTAAGCTGGCTGCGGGCCACATAGTACCGGCCCGCGGGCCGGCACTTTGAGACCTGTTTAAAGTGTCGCCTATAGAAGATTTGGGGAATTGGTGTTTTTTTGCAGATTCATGTACGCAATTTTAAAGCTTGATATGTATCTATTTACCCGGCGTGACCTGTCTTTTATATTTTACGCAAAAAATAGGTATTATATTCTGCTTCTGCGCACTAAATTTAATTTTAGTGTATTTTATCCTAAAAATACTGGTTTGATGAACATTTGTGCAAATATTGCCCGACCATAAAAAAATTGCAAATAGCATTTCTTTTTTTTTTATTCTACAGGGCCTCTGCTTTCAGAAAATATAGAATTGTTTGGGGGTGTGAAGCTGTTTTCTTGCCAAAAATGTAGATTGTATCATGTGTGTGCAAATATCAAGAAATGGCTCTGGTTAGCAAGTGGTTAATTTAGGGTGTTGATCTTGGAATTCAGTAAAAAAAAAAAAAAAATCAACATTCAGGACAGAGTCAAGTCTTATCCATTACAGCTATAGCACAATTCTCCCCAAAATCAAAGATAACATTTTGGGTGGAATTAGAACTACAATTTGAAAAACAAATAAGTGGCAGGCTAAAATTAAAGTAACTCACATCAATAGCATCTCTTTCAAATACCCGCAGTTGCAAAAAAAGTTCTAGCTTTATTTTTCTCTCATGAAAAAGTTCTTCCATCTGCGATTGGGCTTCATCCAGCTGCTGAAGAATGCTCTCTATATGATTAATAGAGCTGTTGTGTGGAGTCTTGTTACTGGAAACAGCTGAATCTCTGAAAATGAAAATATTTTTTTTTAAATATGTTTACTCCAAATTGATTAAGTACAGAACCAATGTATGCATAACATAAATAATTATACCATAAAGGAGTAAGCTAAACCTGCCATAGCTATAGCCTAATTAAACTATGTGCAGAGTCAAAAGCAGAACTATTAGGTGCCTTTACATACATACCAGTATAATCTTGAAATGCTGAACTCTGGTCTTTGGAAACCCTGTGAAACAATATGAAAATACCATTGTTTTACAAAGCTAGCATGCATCCCACAATGCAAGGTGGGCAACTGGTTCTCCAAAACATGAAGTTGGTACCAGTGTTTAGGGGGGTATAAAAGGTGCCTGGTTACTGAGTATACCTAAAGTTTGAATTCTTCTACTAGGTTATTGATGTGCAGTTTTATTTTTAGGGCTGATCAACACAAAAACTGTTATTAGGCAGATGTCGCGGGCTAAGACTGTCATAATTAGGACTGTTGAGGACCCCAAATGCTGTAATTGGGACTGGAATCTCTAAGTACTTGTGAGCAGGGTATCCTAATAGCTAAAACTAAAGCAGAGTAGAGGAAGGTTAGAAAGCTTTCACAAAGCTGTAAAACTACCTTATGAAGCATCATCAACATTGACCCTACTTCAAAGTTAACAAGTTATCACTATAAATAAAAATAACCAAGCCAAAACACATGCATTATTTGTCCTAACGGCCAATATAATCAGTCTTAAAAATAACCACTGTTATGGCAAATAAAGGTTACAGCTTAGTGAGCTAAGCTTCTTATGTCTGTGTTGACAAAAATAAATACTACTAGAAACTAGGAGGTGCACGGGGCGTGGCCTGGGGCTCGATGTAGACGGACGTGCGGTGGAGAGCTCTCTGTATTGATCCTCGATTTACAGACTCATTCTGATACCTGCGATCCACAACTTGCTCTGGTGTCCCTTCGGGTGTGCCGACAGCCTCGATCTCGGTCTACGCCGCTGCGACATGAAGAAAGCAGGTAAGAAAGAAGCAGCTGCTCAGGCCGGCCTCCCGCATGATGGAGGCGGTGCACATGACCCCCTGCTTACTCCTGACAAGGCGGCGCGCAAAAAGCAGCCGGGACACTGCGGCTCAGTTGGAGAGATTTGCCAGGGACACTGGGACCCCAGGGAAACAATCAAAGATAGCTCCCATCCGTGACAGCAGCGTTTCCAGGGACTTATTGGCCCCCTCTCCCTCATCCTTCTCGCAGCGTGATCAATCAGACAGCCAGGAGGTATCAGTGGACAAATGAGTACTGCATCCAAGCGTGCTAAGAGCCCCAAACCTCAGAAGACAAAAAATAAAGTGCGTGAACCCACCATGTCAGATATCTATTCTGCTATTCAGACATGCAACTCCTCCCTTGCCTCCTTGACGGATCAAGTACAGGGAATGCATGCTGATATCACGTTTCTAAGACATGATCTACAAAAGGTCAGGGAAAGAACGACCGCTGTGGAGGGCAGGGTCAGCGATCTAGAAGATCTTGCTACTCCCCTGGTAGCTGATGTTAAATCAGCAATGCCTCGTACCGCTACTCTCTCTGACAAAACTGATGATCTTGAAAAACGTCTACACAGGAACAATATTTGTGTTGTGGAAGTTCCTGAACGTCAGGAAGGTAACAACGCAACAGATTTCGCAGAGGCCTGGCTGCTCGAGACTTTTGGTAAAGGGTTCTGGCCAGTCCTCTCCCTCCTGGCAATCCGCCTAGACCTCTATTGATCCGACTGCTTAACTACCGTGACAAAGAACGCATCCTACGTAAAGCCCAAGACATGGGTGAGATTTCCACTGCAGGCTCGAAGATCATGCTGTTCCCTGATTTCTCCCAAGAAATCCAGAGAAGACGTGCTAAATTCCAAGATGTTAAGAGACGACTTCAGCAGCTACACTTTCCCTACTTGATACTCTACCCTGCTAGACTTCGAGTCGTGGCTGACGGCGAGACCCATTTCTTTTAGGGTCCCTCTCAAGCTTCATCCTGGCTGGATAAATTAACTTAGAAAAAAACACCTAAAACCTGATGTAGCGAACCCTGTGGTCATAATTGGGATATTTCTTCCTTCTCAGGTTGTGATATCTGTGGCCTGGCCATACTCTGAGGATCTCAACATACCTCATATTTAGATGAGTGCATCCCCCCCCCGGTTTGGTAGCACTACCTTTGCAGCTCTAATGGATTCTACCATCTCCATTGTCGGAGCCTCCAGAGGAGTTTTTCCCCCAGTTTTTCTCCCAAGTGGAATGTTTGTTTTCTTTTGTTTTGTTTCTGTTTGCGTTTTGCAGGTTCGTGTAATCACCAAGGCCTGAGGCTTCTCCCACGGCAAGGACCATGCATGGATACTCGTTCGGCTCAGTGGGAACCAGCATTCTCTACCACACCAGAGCCCTTATGTGTAACTAATTTTATTTTTCCTTTTTGTTCATTGGACCATGTTTTTGATATGCCGTCCTTTTTCATTTTTATGGAACTTTTATAATGTCAGCATGTAATTTAGGACTTGTATCCTGGAATGTCCGGGGACTAGGTGATGTTAAAAAACGTAAATTCTGTCAACAGGTTTTTCACTCCTGCTTCTCCACTTATGCCAGAGTAGTGTCCATCCTAGTACATTTGAATGTCTCGTTCTCCTGTAGGTGGGTGAGGGTGGATAGTGGTGGTCGCTATGTATTTCTCCATTGATGTGTATTCGGAAGGGACTGTGTTATTGCTAATGTATATATACCCCCCCCCTTTACACTAATGCGGTTCTTAAGGACCTTGCCACATTTCTGGCTGATAAGCTCCCCATCCCCGTTTTGGTGGTGGGTGACTTTAACAACCATATGGATCTTGCTCTTGATAGATTCCCTAGTACTGGAGGAGGTCCTTCGCAGACAGCATTTGCAAAGCTGTGTGCGGAGATGGGTTTGATAGCTGTATGGCGTACTAGACACCCGACTGAATCCCAATATACATGTCACTCCAAAACTCATAGCACACTTTCTCGTATCGATTATGTACTCGCTACGTCTGAATCCCTGCCTCTCATCTCTGAAGTTACTGTTCAACCCAGATGCCTGTCAGACTACTCTCTGATAGTTGTGCGACTCTCTTTTGAGCATCCACTATCCTCAGCCCCC